AGCAATATTCAATCAATATCACGGTGGAGGACACCCGAAATGAGCTGAATACACTGTCTCCATGTGAAGCCTCGAACCACAGGACTACCCCACCGCGCCGATTTAATGCATTAATGTAGAACAGTCAATAGCTCAAACACTTGTCTCGAGCCCTGATGTAATCTCCAATATAATCTATCCGACTCTAATATGTACCATAGTGATATTACTCTCGGATCACTAATATAACAACTTTGTATTAGGTCACATCTTCAGAAATATTTCAAATATGTTTCTCCTTCTTCTCTGAGAGTAGTGAAAGATTGAAATCAAAATCAAATAGACTTTGCTGGTTACATTTGAATCACGACCACAGATACTCTATATCCGTCACTGGCGTATAGCTCACATCGTTAAATCCAGAAGAGTTAGTGACACCTTGTACCCATGTGGGGAATCGAACCCAGGTCTTCAGCGTGACGAGCAGACGCTTTAACCACTAGACTACCCCCTGCCCCTTACGCCAAGAAGAGATAACTGACGGTCTTGATTTCATGTATTCAATAAATATGTATTCCTCTCTACACGTGCGTGTAATTATCATAAGAGAATGGCGTCTTTGTTAATCTCACCGGAATAAATTCCGTTCCTTAATTTCTTTTGTATTGGTCCAGTATTTATGGAAGAGAAATATACCCTGAGTAAGCAACAGTGATATCCTTGACGAAATTGCGCTCACTGTATTTATAGGACAACCTTGATAATTGTTTGGGCATATAATTTTTGTCTCGCGTGTCGGATGTTTAGACTAGGGTTACATATGTTCTACGTTGGATCGCGGGTGAGGTTCTCTCCCAATCTGCTGTTTTTGTGGATCCAACACACTTCCTGACAGTTTGCCGGAGAATGGCAACAATGCATGCACGCTGTTGATCTTTGCAGTTTTAGCGCATCGCCATTAGGGTTCATGTCGCCGGCGCTAGCGTGAGCAGGAACCAGACTAATCTGTTCAACTTGGCAACATTCTCATCACTTCCGTGTTGTACGCCCAGCATCATAGGGCAACCATCCTCATGTCTCAGTGGCATGGTCCATCTGTGTAATGTTATCTTTAAAATGACTGCTTTAGTATACAATTTGCATAACGTAATGTGTAATTATTAACAGGATAAGGACGCTTTCATTAGGTGTTCCTCGTTATTTTTATCATATTAAAACCGACATGTTTCTGTCTCTACACCGGGGTGGAAGGTTAGCCTCGTGGTTAAAGCGTTCGCTCATCACGCCGAATATCCGGGTTCGATTCCCCACATGGGTGCAATGTGTGAAGCACATTTCTGGTGTCCCCCGCAGTGATATAACTGGAATATTGCTAAAAGCGGCGTACAACCATATTCGCTCACTCACTGTCCCTGCACCTTACAAAAACAATTGCCCAAAAAATCACGATTATCCAAATATCAGGAGACACGAAGACCACGCTCAAATATATTAATTCTGACAAATTTTGCTTGTCGATAGCCCTTCCAGGACTCCATAATTAAACCCCCTGCATGCCGGCTGACGTCGACAGACGCTGTAAGTAGTTGTATCGAGTAACGAAGGGAACCACGTGTATTTGATGCAGCTTAAATAGTATTGCACTGATGAATGTTTGACTGAAGTATTAATTATAAGTATTGTGTGTCATGATGAAAGTCAAGTGTAGTTATCCTATATGCCTAACGAGTTGCCGTAACTGGATGCAGACAGTAATTAGTTAATATATATAATCTAACTTGAGTCAGACAGCATCTTGATAATGTCGCGAAGCACGTGTTATCGTTAACATTGGGGCTGACAGATTGCATTGCAGCGGAAAATAACCTGTGACATGTTTACAAATCGTTTCATAATTGTCGGTTGTGTTTTGCTTGACACAGTGTTAATGTATATACTAGTATCTGTAGAAGAGGTGGGGGTGAGAGTTACCATTGGGTATAGTGGATAACGCCCTTATGTCCCCCATTTTACTGGAAAACTGCTTCAATGGGCGAAAACCATTGTTACGGAACACGCTGGGTATGGTAGTCAGTGATTATGTATTTTGTATTTATTCTTTTCCGAGATATATATAATGTAACACATTGTCAAACGTAGCTGAACATGTAAATCGATGGATTATATGTTGCTGAAAACTGATATATATAAAAGACCGATTTGTGATATGTATTATCATCTGGTTTCATTTAAACCTTCGATTCGTCGCATTAAGTGAGTGAGTGAATTTAGTTTTACGCCGCACTCAGCAATATCCCAGCTATATGGCGGCGGTCTGTAAATAATCGAGTCTGGACCAGAAAATCCAGTGATCAACAGCATGAGCATCGATCTGCGCAATTGGGAACCGATGACATGTGTCAACCAAGTCAGCGAACCTGACCACCCGATCCCGTTAGTCGCCTCTTACGCCAAGCATAGTCGCCTTTTGTGGCAAGCATGGGTTGCTGAAGAACTATTCTACCCCGGATCTTCACGGGTCGTCGCATTAAGAAGAAAACGAATACGTAAAGCAACAACGTGTATCCTCCCCCCATAAAGTGACTTCAAACAAGAAATAAAAAATATCAAAATAACAACTAATAAGTCCCTGAGTCCTTGTTAAATATTGGGGTGATACTTGGTCTTCTGCAACCCATGCTTGTCGTAACAGACGATTAACGGGATTTGGTAGTCACGATCTCTGATGCATGTGATATCCCGAGTGTGTATATCCATGCTCATTATATCAATCACAGTATTGTCTGGTTCGGACTAGAATATTAACGGACGGTATTCAGAGTGCTGGGATACTGTGGCGTTAAACAATAAAGAAAACATGCTTGTCAGTACCAGATTGGTGTCTAGTTCCTTCATGATTGTGATGGAGCCAGGTATGGCTGATACATACATTTTCTGTCATCCTAAATTCCTTTTCATCCATCTTACCTTTTGTCACCTACACAACAAAGACATTACACTAACCCACAAAGAACAATAAGAAATGAAGCAGTATTGTCTTATATCGCTAAGAACACTTAAGATTCCATAACTTCATCTGTAGATATTATATTAACATTACATGTCAACCAATCGTTTAATATATTAGTATTACCATATGTATTTACAACGCTCCTGACCTGAAAAGATTTAAGGGTTTCAGCAAACATTACGGCACAGGCTACTGATAACAGTTACCAGTGCAAACATGATCGAGATTGCCATACAGTGTTTATCATCATGTCGTACTGATGTTTTCAGGTTGACGGATGACTTTAAAGGTTACAGGAAGAAACTGTTTGTTGAGTATCGGCGCGTTCCTTTATGTGTTTAGGTTGATAATAGCTGCTGATTGTAACCCCTCACGTGGACGTTTTGTATCCTGTACGTCACTCTCATGTAGCAATCAAATACATTTCGACGACTTCATGATGTGTTTTTCATGACATTGTCACGCTCGACAATGACATTGTCTTAGACAGACATTATGTCCCAGAAATAAAGTAAATTTATTTAAAAATATATATCTACAGAAATATGTGATCAAAGCGGAGCCTTGAACTATAGTTAATTCCAAGAGAGAGCTGAGGTAGTTTGGATTTGCCTCATCATACTAGACTTGAGTTGGACTCCCTTTTACTTTTTCCTCGTTGGTCTGGGAAGGGGAGGTGGGTTAGCCTAGTGGTTAAAGCGTTCGCTCGTCACGCTGAAGACCCGGGTTCGATTCCCCACATGCGTACAATGTGTGAAACCCATTTCTGGTGTCCCCCGCCGTGATATTGCTGGAATATTGCTTAAAACGGGGTTAAGCCATACTCACTCACTAACTCTTGGGTCTGGGAGTATACAAGGGTATACAAGAGCCGAATTCAGTATGTACCCTGTTGTATTCTTGGTTGGAAGAAAAATATGTTCCCCTCTCATCGCTTTAGCTAAACTAGAAAAATAATAACAAGACCATAACTTTTGAGACCGCTTTTTCATCCAGACTAATACGACTGTATGTTGGCAATCTCGGAGTGTCTCCGATAGTGAATGTCCAACGGATACATATTGTGTTCGGAAACCAGAAAGGAAATAGCTGGGGGAGGTCTGGGTTGGGGATTTGGGTTTTTAGGGGTTAGAAGGACAGGTGCCCGCCATATGAGGTACCGGAATCGGTGCTGCATTGTCATCGAAGACAGTGTCTGAACGATACACGGATGAAATGACAGCGAACGGTGTTTCTGAGTTTATACGCATATAACATTATTGATTTACTGTTATGAATTAAGGTTCTATAGTAACTGTTCGTAATAATGTTATCAAAATGGTTACCCATAATAAAGGTGTTCCTGTTTAGCAGCTTTCGGAATTTGTAAAGAGACATTAAGAATGAAGGGCTCAGCATACCGCCTTGCGCCACACACTGCTTCTATATCCCACAATATGTGCAACCCTTAATCCCAGATGTAATTATCGTTGAAAGAAACATATGTCCAAGTCGGGAGCTACATACGTTGTATCAGCGGAACACACGTCACCAATGATGTGGACATTATAATACATACTCTATTCATTCTACAAATTGTTATTACTTTACAAACTCGACCACACGCTTTCAAGACAAGAGGGGTTCACCTCAAAGTTTCGTTCCCTGTTAATTAAGGCACAGGCGTAACCAACACATAAATTAAGACGTCGTCGTGATATACGAGGAATTCATTAAGGACTGTGGTTACTGGTACAAATATCGGAATCTTGCATCAGAAAGGATTTAAATGCTTTATCTTTGGACTTACTGTTTGAAAGGGCTATATAAGGTGGTAGGGATGAATATGGGAGGTTAAACTCTTACTTGTCGTTACGGGTATCCGGGGTGTACTGTTTGAAAGGTCTATATAAGGCGGTAGGGATGAATATGGGAGGTTAAACTGTTACTTGTCGTTACGGGTATCCGGGGTGTACTGTTTGAAAGGGCTATATAAGGCGGTAGGGGTGAAGATGGGAGGTGAAACACTTACTTGTCGTTACGGGTATCCGGGGTGTGGTATAGATGATGGGGAGCGGCGTGGTTCTCTCTCTCACTACTCCATGACAGTGCTCCCAGTAGTCGGGGCAGCAGTCGTAGGCCGTGGAGTTACAGAAGACGTCGCAGTAGCACTCGGTGCCGAGGATGGGGACGGAACAGTAGTCGTCCCGGTCGTCACAGCATTGCTGCCCCCGACGCTTTGCACACCAGGGTCCTTCCAGGTCGGGCCCCCATTCCCACATCTGTCCCCATGTCCCGAGGAAGCATCCCAAAGATAGCACCAGTAGAATCCCTACACCAGACATTTTAATCCGTTAATCTGCGCAGATAATCTGTGGAAAACGCTTAAGAAATCCTGTCAGTTTTGCCCGCCTGTCACTGGACGTCAAGCATATATCTTCCTTGAGTCACACTCACAGCACAACGTCGCGGCCGCCGCGCACTTCACCAATATACCCGGGTTACTCGTACTGCATATAATCCCAGTGAGGTATGAAAATCTCCTCGTAGAGTGTCGAAATCCTTGAAATTACCCACTACCTACCTCCAAGTGTGTAGATATTAATTGATATCCTGATAAGGTGTTACTCCGTGGCATATCATACCCGCGCCTCACATAACGAAAAATACGACATATCTTTTCTTAAAACACAATCACAGAATACAATAATCCAATTGTTTGTAGAAATGAAATAAATTCACATTTCTTTTGCACTTTCCATCATAAAAGTTTTTTCCTTGGCTTCCCTTATTCCCATCCTACTCTCGGTCCAGTAAAGCCGTATGTGCTGACTCGGCGGTATTCGGTCACTGCCTCGGCTCGCAGGTTCAATGCAATGTGTATTAATTGGGTTGGATCTGGGTAGGGAGGGAGCGATCGCTCGCGGTTTACCGCCGACACTCGCCGAGTCAAGTTGTGTGACGCAGACCACCACCATCCTTCGGCAGCCCGCGTGCAGGCGTACTCGTTTCTGAGCATGCGTTGTGAAAGATCTGCCCTTTCAGCTGCAAATGGCATTCAGAAATAGTAAACAGTAACTTTGGGAGAGTTTCAATTTCCGCGAAGTAGTTAAAAAACTCTTGAGAAACCAAACCAAACATTAATGTGAATCTTAATGAAATTGCAACAGTTGCTGTATATCTGAGAATACAAATGTGTGTCTAGGTATGATTACGCTTGGCATTAAGGTATCGACAATATCCCCCAGTCCAGTATGTTATTAAATGCCAAACTGAAAAGTAAATACGCTCCATATTTTGTAAACTATATCAGTAGCCTGAGTGGTTTCGAACTCATTACTGTGAAGCCCATTTCAGGTGTCTTCCGCCGTGATATTGCCGGAATATTGCTATAAGCGGCGTAGAACTAAGTCACTCACTCACTCGAACTCAATACAATGTTCGCCAGACTCAGTCACTTGAGGTGATTGCATGACTTCGAACCAAGGCGGCGTGGGACATAGTCTCGTTCCCGGGGTCTGCCACGACAGCCACACTGAGAAGACCCCAGAACTGACAAAGTGAGTTTAGTTTTACGCCGCTTTTACAATATTCCACCAATATCACGACAGGGAACACCAGAAATACACATTGTACCCAAGTGGGGAATCGAACCCGGGCCTTCGGCGTAACGAACGCTGTAACCACTAGCCTACCTCACAAGCCCCCCGAACCAGGTAGCATGGGACATTACTCGAGCTGGTCGAGTCCATAGTATGTTAAGCTAACCAAACTGCATCTTCCTTTGCTAATAATATCAGTCACTAAATTATTTGCTCTAGATTCATTTGTTAGCTGGAATATCGTAAAATGCATCGTTAAACAAAAACCAAAAACCCAAAGTGGTCTTGTTGTTAAACCGTTCGCTCGTTACGCTGAAGACCCGGGTTCGATTCCCACATGGGTGCAATGTGTGAAGCCCATTTCTGGTGTCCCCCGCCACCATATTGCTGGAATATTGCTAAAAGCGGCGTAAAACTAAACTCACTCACTTACCTCCAAAAGGTAAAAGATGTACTAATTACGATTATCTTCTAGGACCCACTTGAATAAAGCGATCTTAGAGCTACGATGCTCATGATGTTGATCACTGGATTGTCTGGTCCAGACTCGATTATTTACAGACCGTCGCCATATAGCGGGAATATTGCTGAGTGCGGCGTAAAACTAAACTCACTCACTCACTCACTCACTAGAGCTACGACGATCGTCATTCCCATACACAGAGCCATAAGACAGTCGTAACGCTATGATCGCTTTGTGCAAGTGGGCCCTGGTGAGCTAAGAGATCACATTTAAAAACACAAAAAACAGCGTTCACGCCGATTCTAATTATACACCACCCAATGTGTATGGGGAACATATATATCACTTTATAAGTCATAGTTCGTAATATGGAGAATTACAAAAGAGGCCTTCTTGAGTCATCGTGGGAACGCTATACTCAGTCTTTGTATTCAGTAACTATGATGTGTCAGTTTATTTAAACATGCGATACTTTTCCCAGGTAATGACGTGGAACTTGCAACCTTCATCCATACAAACAGGTCGTGTCATAAACTTTACCCAAGGCTGTTACTGAACACATAGTTAGTATCACAATCACATCATGTGAGTAAGTAAAGTGATCTATCGTAACTTATCGTCAACAGGTATAAACACAAAACCACACTTTGACACAGATTTGCGTCGGTGGACGAGGTTTGTGTGACGGTGTTCCGAGCCAGTGGTCGATAATGTGAGCATCAGGTGACATCGTACAGGCAGGACAACGCGGAAAATATAAACAATGCCGGCTTAAAAGAGACATTTTCCTAAATGGTCATCCTTGATGTTACAGTTACAACAAACCCTCAATAGCTTAAATGACATATTCCTATGTTTTTTCTCAAACATTCTCCTCAGAGTAGGACGCATGTTTTGATTGATTGATTGAGTAAGTGAGTGAGTTGGGTTTACGCCGCTTTTAGCAATATTCCAGCAATATCGCGGCGGGGGACACCAAAAATGGGCGTCACACATTGTGCCCACGTGGGGAATCGAACCCGGGTTTTCGGCGTGACGAGCGAACGCTTTAATCACTTGGCTACCCGCCGTCCCTGTTTTGATTGAAGTGACCAATGGTTTGCTGAAAAAAAGAACCAACTACATTTCGTCGAGCTACATTTTCTATGCTCTTCGAGTTTGTCTAATCACCTTTACTATCCTCATACGTCACCTTCCACAAGCCAGCGTCCATAATTTAATGTATTTCGTCTTCTGAATACATCCAAGGTGTCCCCCTTGAAAACCAAGATCGATACTGTATCGGCAGTTATACTCGAGATTCTCCAATGGTGATGGCGAGATCAAAGATTACGACTTCCATTAATACACAAAAAGATCGGAAACCACCCGTATGTGACAAACACAATAGACGCCCAGATCCAGGGCATTGAATCAAGATATAATTGTCCATGTAATACATACAAAGCTTGCCTGCCTATCAGCAGGTTTCGCTAATATTTTATATCTCTGTGTCAGTAAACAGTTACCTCTGTACAACGGCCATTCAAACCGTTTGCCTTGCATGGGGGTACCTACTGGCAAACAAGGATAAGTTGGACCGGCGCAGAGAAAGCGTTTACGAGAAGTAGGCGGTGCACGGCAATGATCGCGGACAACCTGGGGACCCTTCGCTAACAATGTCAAACGCCAGAGGGCGGCACTCATACATGCTAATACGGGTCAATTGTCAGTTCGGTGCTCAACTTATCCTTGTTTGTCAGTATATGTTTTTGACGACTGTGTAGGGAACATCGTACTGACATCGGCTAGTATAGTTGACCTATGGTACTGGTCAACCAGATGTCAAGCCAATCACACATTCTGGGCACACGTGTTGTCGTATTACGATATATAATACGATGACTTAGCGAAGAGAACGCTTAGTAGAGCTCAAGGACGAAAAGGGACGTAATTTGCTGTTCAGATAGTATGCGAACACTACTCCCATGCTCCCGAGTTTCACTTGTGTAAAAGTCTGCTTTCCTTCGACATTATTTGTGTTTGTTTGATAACGCGGCAGACTTGACCAGACAAACCAGTGATCGATAGCTCGAGTGACGTCGCACGTTGCCTTGGTACGAATACACGCATTCAACCAAGTCCCCGAGCCTGACCTACCGAATCAGATCCGTTCAGTTGCCAGTAATATCAGTCTCGGTTAATATGATATTCTAACCCTGGAAACCCGCCATCGTGCCTTTAGAATTAAGCTGAAGCAGCATTTAAGGTTCGCTGAAACACTGCTGAAGTGGTGCGGATACTTACTCAATAAATGTGGTTATTTCCAGCAGTGAGTTTGAGTTTTTGTGAGTTTTAGTTTTACGCCGCTTTTATATTATTTCAGTAATATCACGGCAGGGGACACTAGAAATGGGCTTCACACATTGTACTCATATGGGGAATCGAACCCGGGTCTTCGGCGTGACGAGCGAATGCTTTAAACACTTACCTACTAAAACACACACACACACACACACACACACACACACACACACACACACACACACACACACACACACACACACACACACACACCTCTTCTCGGTAGTGAGAATCTACTGTGAAATGTTACATCCGAATTATACGAAGAATGGATTTCGACCAAATTAATCATGTTTGGTTAAAGTGGATACCTTCTAGTCCATCAGTCACGGTACCACGGCTTTTTTAAATAATAAAATTCAAAGATTTAAAAAGAGGAAATGCCGTATATTATAAGTAATACTTAAAAATCGGTTCGGAGTTTAAAAATATGTTTAAAATGAAATCGAAACTTCTAAAGCCTTATTTCTGTCCAGGCTTTCCGCCTTTGGTTTGTTTGTTTCTCTCAGTAAAATCATCAACATTTAGTAGATCATACCTTATCTTGTATGAAACACAAATGTACATTTCTAATATAACGCGTTAAACCAGCTGTGAAACTGAAAGAATCATATAATATCACGCGCCTATAAATATCACGGGTGTGGTTCTATATGAATACCACAGTGTCTGGTATTCATAAACCGTGTTTACAACATTAATAGAGTTTAAATGAAACATGAAGAAAGCAAAGCCATAATCATTCAAACCCGTTTCATTAAGATGGCCTAGATCTTTTGAAACTCTAACTAAGAGAAGCTGCTTGCCACATGTCTTAAAGGCGCTCCGACTGGCTATGTCCTGTCAGCGTGTCAGAAAGTATTTTACCTTTAAGTCTATAAGCCCGATAATAGTCGTCTTGGCTCAGTGGACACAAAGATTGTTGATATCAGAAATAGAACCAGTAAATACGCCAGTAAAATATGTTTTAATTGGGTTTCGTAAAGTTGAAAGTTTGGGCATATATTGGAGCTGGGAATTGAATGACTGTGTCTGTATAAGCACGTCCTTGGAAAGCCTCTTTGTCATGCGGTTTATTTTACACAGTGGGAGTTAAAGCGTTCGCTCCTCACGTCAAAGACCTGGGATCGATTCCCCACGTGGGTACAATGTGTGATGCCCATTTCTGGTGTCACCCGCTGTGATATTGCCGTAGTAGTGCTAAAAGCGTCGTAAAACCATACTCACTCACTCTCTTTACACAGTGGGGTCTGTCTAAGGTGGGTTTCCTTGCGGCCAAACGGGAAGTTCGGTTTAGGGAGCGGTCCGGATTACAGAGATTATAACAGGAGGTAAAGCATATGAAATAAACACGTTTGAAGGTCATGTAATATGTTTCTATAGCAGTAAATTCAGGATCGTACATCTCAAACTCGGCTTAGACACAGTTTACTGTAACACATGTACAGAGTATCAGGTAAGTGTATCAGAGAATGAGTGAGTGAGGGTGTTGTGCTGGTTGTGTTTGGTATTGCAGCAATCTCACATCACGTCGAACTGACGGGGCGGTAGGCTAGCCAAATGG